AACAGCTTGTAACACTCCAAAGAGAAAGGAAAATTTGAAATTGCATCATATGACCCCTTTAATGGGACGTTAAGGAAAGTTCTTCAATAAAAATATGGCTTTATTTAGTAGTCGATATCAATACCAGTAAAATTTCACAATTCTTGATACCACAGCAAAAGCTAATATGCTATTAAACATTCTGCTTTATTTAGAATGTTTTTATATTATTATATTATATTATTATATTATATTATATTATATTATATTGTTGTTGATGATTAACAATAATAAATACTAATATATGAATACATTAAACATTATGGAATCTTCACATTTATCAAGTAATTGTTCAAGTAAATTATCTTGAATAAAAATAATAAACAAAATATGACATACAACGAATTTAAAATGTAAGCATTATATACTGTTGTTGTTGTTGATAAATAATAATAATAATATAATAATAAATATTAATATAAATCTCCCTTTCCTCTGGTTCTGAGCTATGGCCCAGCGGAGCAAAACACAACATCCTGGCAGCCCTGAGCCCAGAAAGCCCCCTTCTGCCTGCAGCCTACCTCAATTGAATGCAACCTACTGTTCTGTTTATTTTCCTCAGGAACTACTTTACATCATTCACAAAATGACTTGTTTCCATTTTGTTGAACCACATGAAGTCTGAGAAGTGTTTGCTGCGCCACCCACCACGTTCCATACACAAAAAGCCCCGAGACACAAAAGCTGACGAGAAGAAATGAAGATGATTACACTCCTGCTTCCTAATGTAGCAAACGGAAGAATATAAAAAGAAGAGACGCTTTGATGTCTGATGGCTGAAATGAGCATTTACATCTGAAAAGGTGTTTCCCTTTGTGATGTCCCCGCTTTTGTTAAGTGGCGAAGGCGTGATGCCGGAGACAATGTCGTTCGTGTTTGGTACGGAAAGCCTCTCTGTTTATGAACTCCTCACAATGCAGGGAAACCTGCCTTTTCCGTCGCTTCCCCGGAAGACTTTCTGAGGGATTGGACAGAGAATATATTTTTTGTTATCTGAGGCGGCTCCACAGCTGCTCTAGCGGCTGATTCCTCGGCACTTGGAGAGAGTGTAGGCCCTTATCTCGACATGCACGGAGCACCTCGGGCTTATGTGCGCCGAGGAAACAGCTGCCACTGAGAAGTGTATATTAAAGAGCTCTTAGCTGCGGTATTCACAACATGAGCTTGCTATGATAACCTCATGGAGATGGAAAGCGGCTTGCTAAAGCCAACTCACTCACTGGATTCTGAATCACAAGAAAAAACATGCTGCTCCCATACAATTATCGCCAAAAACATTATCGAACAAAAGTGTCGCAAACCTCAATGCACTACAGAAGAGGTTCTCAACTATTTTGATTGAGAGAGATTTATCTTAATCTTATTTATGTTTTTAGCATAGCCATAGCCATATGCTAGGCCTATATATAATAGGTAGCTAGCTACTCTTGCACAGACATAGAGGCACCAATATTAAAATTCTGACTAATATTGAAAATTATATTCATGTTAGTGAATAAATAAACAGACAACATTAAAAATCTAAATAAACAAAAAATAACACATTTAAATGCTACAAGGCATTACATTATAATGTACAATATATATATATATATATCATCTATTTTCAATTTGAGATTTGCTAAAGATATATTTAACAATGTTATTAAATTAATAGTTTTTTAAAGATTAACTTAACATTAAATAAATGTTATACTGTATGATCGGTAATCTAAATGTAAAATAATTATATTCATGTTAGCCAATAAAGAATAAACATGCAACATTAAAAGCCAATACAATTCGTATTAAATTAAAAAAAAAAAAACACATTGAATCTAAAATCAATCATTAAAATGCTGTAATTGAATTTAGGCATCACAACATTATAATTTACAGAATGAAAAATTACTATTAATTATGAGATTATATGTTTAACAATATTATTAAATTACTAGTGTTTTAAAAGAATAACATAATGCAAAATAAATGTTAGATGACTGCAAAGGTAATCTAAATGTAAAATAATTATATTCATGTTATAGCCAATAAAGAATAAACAGTCAATATTAAAATTCTCTCCAATTTAGTGTTAAAAAAATCAAACATTAAAAATAAAAATAAATCATTGAAATACTACAAGTGAATTCAGGCATCACAACGTTATATGTACAGTATTAAAAATGGATATTAATTCGTCATTTTCCACACCCTTAAAACAGATCTGAACAGATATGAATGCAAAATTATGTCATCAAATCCAAATTTGATTCAGCGTAGCTGGTGCCTCCTCGTCACTCTAACTCCAATTTAAAATGTGACTCTCACTGAAACACATTTGGCTCAGTGGGAAGGTAAATCAGAGAACAAGAGCTGTCTGAGTGGATTCTGGGTCCAGGGCTCCACTGTATAATTAAGTGGAGACTTTTTTTCGAGCCTATGTCTGTGATAAGATCAGATCTCCAGCTGTCTACCCTTCTGCACGCTTCCTCGCAGTCTCGCCCCAGTCTTACCCGCTAATGGGGAATCTGGTATTGCATTCAGTTTACGTTTCAGGTCTGTTTCACATGGGGGAACCGGCAAGTGAACTGCTGCATATCTGTGGAATCGGTAATGGGCAACCATGGCTTCGCAATGACACTGGGTGAAATTCGTCAGCTTGTCTTGCCGCTTGAGTCAAGATGCTCCTTCGGCAGCTGAGGCTTCTCAGGGACATGATAACCCTGCTTATATAGCACACAGGGTCTTGTTATTAATTTACAGGTGGAGTGGGGATGAGCAGCAGGGTACCACGACCGTCAACCTCAAGCTCTGCTGCAGATTTTGACAAACAAGGCTGTTTCAAAAGGGGCCTTTTTCTGATGTTCCTTCCACCAAGACTTTTTGCTTGATTTCCATTCATTAGGCCAAGGCTGCTGGAAGGGCCAATCACAGCTCTAAGACCCCCTCACAGGAATCAGGCACTGTCTCAAAGAGTCACAGACTTACTCCAGGCTATTATTGGATTAGGAGGGTTCCTTAGTGACTCCATTCCTGCCAACTTGAGGGTCTTCAAGGGAAAGTGAAGCAAAAGTCACGACCCAACCTAACAAGGGAACTTCTCTGAAGGAACACCATGGTGTTGGCAAATCACTTCCTTTTTCAGAGCAAAACAAACCATGGCACAACAAATGACTTTTACTGGAAGGAAAAATTACGTTACTTGTCATGTGACCTTCAAATGGGCCTTCAGAAGATGATAAGAAAGGCTATAGAGAACACTGACTCAAAAATACTCAAACATGGACATTGGACATAATATAGGAGCCTACTTTCCACAGACTAATTTTCTTTTGCTCAACCAGACACTTAACTATGAAAAAAGAAACTTAAAAAAATTAGAAAAGGGATGATCCTTCATACTCGTCAGAGTGAATACCTCAGGGATTTTCATATTTTAGGGCACTTTTTTCTTGGAGACTGAGAAAAAGAGGTGGATGTTAATGTCACATTGACTCACATATATCTGCTAAATGTATAAATGTGTATATATATATATATATATATATATATATATATATATAAGTGCAGGTGCAAACATGGGCCTGCCACTCCTGCTTCAAATGGAAGACCTGATTGACATGTCAAAAGCAGCCAGGCCTTTCCTTTTTCAAGACAGCAAATTTAGGTAGCACAATGAGGTCTGTTGACATTGACGCGGCTATTTAGGTAGCACAATGAGGTCTGTTGACATTGACGAGGCTAAATGTCAGTGCTGCCAAACCCACACATCACCTCTGCTCGTGGCTTGGCAGCATCCGTCACTCTCTAAAAAGCACCTGTCGCTTTGGTGTTGTGGCCCCGGAAGGCTTCAACAAAGCTCTTTTTGCCGTTTTCTTTGCAAGTGTCAGTAAAACTGAGCTGCAATTTCACCTAAAGAGGCCTTTATGGTACTTACGGCTGCTGCCCAGCTCCTCGAACAGATACTGCACCTTCTCCCACTGAGTGGAGTTCTGGTTGGGCGGAGATTCCAACGGAACAAATGTCCTGAAACAGAAATTCATTTATGTCATGATGTCATCATTTACAGACTACCATTTAAACGTTTGGGATTGGTAAGACTTTCTATTTTAATATTTTAGAATGTAATTTATTCCTGTGATGGCAAAGCTGAATTTTCAGCAGTCATTACTCCAATCTTCAGTAATCATTCTAATTGATTCGCTGCTCAAGAAACATTTCTTATTATTATCAGTGTTAAAAAGTTGTGCTGTTTAATATATATGTTTTTATTTTTCCAGGATTCGTCAATGAATAGATATTTCAAAAGAACAACATTTATTTTAAATAGAAATCTTTTGTGACATTGTCAATACCTTTACTGACACTTTTGATCAATTTAATGCATCCTTGGGGAAAAAAAAAAACAGCTGCTTAATATTTTTGTGGAAACCACAACATTTTTTTTCCAGGATTCTTCAATGAACAAAAAGTTTTCAAAACAACAGTTTTTATTCAAATTAGAAATTTCATGTTACATTATAAATCATAGATCGATCGTAGATCAATTTAATGCTAATTAAAAGCATTCATTTCTTTTCTGTCTTACTAACCCCAAACCTTTTGAACTGTAGTATAAATTGATATAACTGAATTTCAACAACTATCTGACACTCAATGGCTACATACAGTACACACCGAGACTTACGATATGGTTATTACTCCAAAAAACATTACAACATACAAGGTCATAAAGTAAACACAAACTCTTCAATCAAATGTACAAAATTACAATAGAACAATATGCAATTTTATAAAGTAAACATGAATACTTGAATGTATGAATTAAAAATATATTATTGTTACTAATATATGAATTTAAATATATTATGGTTAGTTTTTTATTGTTTAACTTGAGTGTCGAGGCATATCCAATGAAAGTTACATTTCAAATTATCAATAAAATATATAATTTATCATGAAGGCAAAGCATCAAGATAATTAATTTCAAAGTTCTGCTATACAATTTATTACATAAATTAAATATAAATATATTTAATGTCTAGACTAGAGTTATAAAGAATGTTCTTTTGATTGATATAATTGAAAGGTAAATAATTTTATTAGTAAATTAATATATCTTGAGTAACATTCCAGTCCATGAGAGGCGACCACCTTTATGTAGAATAAAACTTTTTCTAGGCCTCTGATAAAGCAGGAGTCTTCATCTTATGTCGGTACACATCATTTTAAAATATCTCTTCAAATTAATTATAAAACGTTAAGTGGAGCACTTTTACTCAAAAGGTAAAATATCTTGTACTGTATATATGTATATATGTTAGGGCTGCACGATATATCGTTTTAGCATCGATATCACGATGTGCGCATCTGCGATAGTCACATCACAGGTAGTGATGGGAAGTTCGGATCATTTTACCGACTCAGACCTTTGAGTCTCGTTCAGCAAAATGAACGAATCTTTTTTCGAGTCATTTTGTTCATTTTAGCAAAATATAATTCAAATGTTACGTGTTACTTCCCTAACACATCTACTACTTACGCAAACGTTGATCACACTACAAACAATACAAAACTATAATGCTATAAGTAACAGAAAATATTAATTCATTGTTTACCTGGGTCTTCAGTCTATAATTAGCTCACCTCACCTTATCTGACAAGTCTTCGTGTTAGAGTCGTTCGTTCATCACGTGACAGCCCCATAAGCTTTAACCTATGCAGTCTGAGCCGGAAAGAGAATTGATTAGTTCATCTCGAGTCTTCGGGTT